CAGGTGAGGAGCGGAGCGGGCGGGGGGCTTCTCGGTGGGCTGGAGCGGAGGGACACTCTTCAGAGGGCGTCCCGTCCGCCAAAGGTGATTTGGGAAGGTGCTTGCGGCCAGGTGAAAGGACAGGGTTTGCCAGTAACTCGCACCGCGTTCGGCTCATGTGCAAGACCTGGGCACTGAGCTCTGGTACCTCCATAGCTATTCGAGAAGGGTAACGAAGACCTAGAGACAAAACAGCCCACCATCGTAGAGTTAATTCACAGTTTTGCTCGCACAAATGTCCAAATCAGAGATAACGAGGTGATAGAGAAGAATCCTCTTGCTGAGGCTGGACAGTGACTTACACACGTGAAGGTGGTTGCAGCCTGCAGAAAAGCTTGTGTCAGGTTTCAGTTCAAAGAGCAAGGCATGAACCCATGCAGACAAACCATACGCCTTTTCTGTAGAAGAGACTGACACATTAGTATGTCTTAAAGAGCTGCATTCTGTTCCATACAGAGCAGAGACCTTATTTCATGACCACTCCTTTACATATACTTGTATGTATATGCATACATACATTATGAACAGCTGACCACATAGTATCATAGAATCGCAGACTGGTTTGGGTTGGAAGTGACCTTAAACACCATCCAGTTCCAACCCCCCTGCCATGGGCAGGGACACCTTCCACTGGCCTTGAAGACACCCAGGGATGGGGCATCCACAACTCTCGGGGAAGTCAAAGATCCTCTTCATCTGCCGAGAGTTAACAACTTCCACATGAATATATACTCTGTTTCAGCTCAGATAGTTGAACGCATTCATCTATTGTATGCAACTCAAGTATTTTATATGCCCCAAGGCTTTAGGAGTTCAAATGACATTTTCTTGTGTTGTGATAAATGTCTGCCTCGCTGAGAATAAATGCTGTGCAAACTCTGAACTTTTCAAAATTAATCGGTATTTGAGTTATTAGCATATGTAGGAAAAGCTGTTGTGAAGGATAGGAAAGGTATTTTTCCTCCTTCTATACCATACTTAGCTCAAAATTTCTAAAAACCTCTTCAGCTCTGAGGAAAAGAGAGAAAGAAAAAATTGAGCCTCAATCAATATTACATGCTTGACTCCAGTAGTGATTCTGCTCTCAGAGGTCAGGAGAGGAAAGAAATGTAGGTCTTTTCTGCTGGACCTTGATTCTCTGTGTCCTTATTAAGTTTCATCCTTTATTATCTTGCCCTTCCTTGCAAAAGATAAATATTATCTAATCAGAACTTACCATCACACGAGATCCTGTCTGTGTGCTTGCACAGAGATGTTCCTGAAAAGCAATAGGCTGAATTCACTGCTAGAGTTTATATGTCATTACAGTTACGTATACCTACAATAAAATACGGATTTCAAAGTTTATTGGCAGATTATTTATCTCAGTGCAAGTTTATTGGGGGTTATTTATCTCTAAGGTGCCAGCTCATTAGACAGTTGTATAAAAGGCCTTATCTCCATCATGCCTGATAGTGTCTAAGGAGCAGAAGTCTCCTCCCTCCCAGCTTTACTCTTCCTGCAGCCCAGCATCTGTGCTGTGCTGGAGCACAGGTGGAATGGAGGAAGACAGGCCAGGCTGTGCTAATATTTTGAGGTTTCCTTACCTGTTCACTGAAAGAAGCTTTTGTTAGGTTTTCACGAGTAGTTTGGTGGCTAACGGGCACCCACGGTAATCCCAGGAGAGTTTTTGGACCAGAGTTACAGCAGAAATAACAGAACTCTGTGGTGGGGAATTCCAGAGTTGGCTAGACTTGAAAACATAATGCTTTATTAAAGTTACTGCTTTTGAGCAAGTGAGACAAACTTTTGGTGCTGATCTTGGCTTTATCTAGCCAATTAGCATGGAGATATGATTTCCACTAGCAGCTTAGTTTTCAGTATTAAATTGCCTTGAGATTTGTTGATTTAATGATATTTAATTCATTCTTTGCTTTGAAATCAACCTGAAGTGGTAAAATATAAATTACGCGTTACAGAAATATTTATATTGTGATGTTTCAGTGAAACTGTTGTTGAGGATTCATTTAAAATCATGTGGATTATCTGTTCTAGTGAAAGTGCCAGTGAGTGGAAGGCTTTTAGTCCGGGTTCCTGAAGAAACAAGGTATATACAGTTGCACCAGCTGCCTGGTCATCTTCATTCCATTATTCAGCTTCTTAAGGGAATAGAAGTCTCAGGGACAACTCGGTTGAAACGGGCAGTGGGTGGAAGAGAGAGACGTGTGTTAGTGTTTCACTAGGAGAAAGGCAGACAGGACTTGATCATGCAGAGGCTTAGCCTACGCTTTGCACATAAATGAAAACCTGCACTCGCGTTGGCTGGGGATACCAGAGGGAACATGAGGAGAACTGGGATTAATCAAGACACATGCAGGAGACAGGCATAGGGAGAGACAGAACACAACTCTCTAGGAGTCCAGGCTTCAGCAGTACCACCACTGACTCACCAAGGCGCTCCTCGTTTGCTTTTCAGTGTTTCCTCCATTTGTGCTGGGGCTTGAGAAAGAGGAAGTTCATCTTTATGCATAAAACACAGTGGAGATGTAAGCAGCATCTAACTTTGTGTGGGCACGTGCTAGGTGAAGTGTTTCCCCAGGGTGGAGAAGGGAAGGTAGCAACGTGGAGCTGGTGATGCCAGGTGTATGCTCCCTCGGAGTCCCGCAGGGTCTGCCGGCAAGGGGCAGTGTGCTTGGATTGCTCCTTGGCCGTTCTGTTCCTGCTGCAGAAAATCAGATCTGTTCAAACCACTGCCAGTTCTGCGGGGAGACGCTGTTCCTCTTCAGTCCTTTTTGCTGGATTCTGCATCCAACAGCAGCTAAACATGAAAGCTGCTGGGCCAGAGTTAATGCACTGATAGTATAGTTGAGAGAATAATACAGAATTTCCTTAAAATACTTCTTTCTCTCCTCTTTAAGAATTGCAGGAAGCAGTTGAAGAAATACTGCCACTTTTGAAGAAAGAAAATGTTAAAGTTTATTATTTAAGCAAGACATCTGCTACAGAAGGAGTTGAGAGCTTTCTTGATAAAGTAGATGCGGCTTCAGATGAGCCTACGCCGTTGTCTTGGAGATCACATATAACCTTTGAAACTCCTGCCATGTATATTTATACTTCTGGCACTACAGGTAATGTAAATTCACAAAAACTTTATGGAAGGCCACATGTTCCTCCCGACATTGTGATTTTTTAGTAAGGAAAGAGAACTTGTTACTTCACATTTATTCCTCCTCTCGTTCATTCCCCCTCAGGAAACTGAAAATTTGATACCTGTATCTAAAACCAGAAAGCACACAGAATGCAGGCTGGCTTTAAGCACTGAATCTGAGGTGAGGGACTGGAGTAAACGTCAAGTAAACATACAAATTCTATGCCAGTAAGGTCACTAGACATCTGCTATCTTTTATCCCTGGAGACACTGCTGGGCTAGGTACATGTCTTGGCACCCACCTTGTATTCAGTATCTTTGAATCACGAACTCTAAATGCTGGCTATTAAGTTTTTGGGTGTCAGAATACCAAAAATAGTGAGGGCAGCACAAACGACAGCTAGTCACAGCCACTGTGCAAAACTGCAGCTGCTACAGGAGCTGCAACCTGCCCTGCATAAAGGTTTCTGGCATTAAGAGCACTTAGCCACACCAGAAACTGGGTGATGAGGATGAAGATAATACCTGAAGGCACTCAGGTACAGCTTCTTTGGGAAGAGCAGGGTATGCCTCCACACCAGCTCGGTCTTTGAGCCTCTTGGGGCAGGAACTCCCCAATTTGAATCCTATTAGGGCTGCAGAAGGCAAATAACTCATGTGTCCTTCAGCCTGGTTAAGGGGTCTAATATCTCTGTTCTTACAGATTAGGCAGGCACTATGACCGTTTTGTCCTCTAGCATCTGTTGCAGCAAGTAATCAGTTCAACTGTATCTGATGGGAAACCAAGAAGAGATTTTGTAGTATGAATTCAGTTTCATCCTGGATGATACAGAGCCGCAAGAAGATATCTAGTTCCAGGAGGGATCTGAGATTAAGCACTGGTTTAGCATTTCCATTCCCTTTGCTCAGCGTGTTATATTCCTCAAATCCCATTTCCTCATTCTGTTAGTACTTGTTATTCCAAGGCACCATAGTATTGGGAATTTGGGTGCTTAATGGAGGGTAATCACCTAAACCTTACATGTGCAAAGACATATTCTCAGTAAAGCTGAACTCCAGCGCGTTGCGTAGACACAAGGTGCGTATGTCCCTGAACTCTGCAACTACCACTTGCATCAGTGAATGAGAAAACCTTTCCTTAAGCCCTTGTGAAACTGACTGGTCTTACTGCGTTTATTGCTCAAGCGAAGTTACACGCGTTTTGTTTGACTTGAAACAGGTCTTCCCAAGGCAGCAGTGATTAACCATGAACGCATAATGCTCGCCTGTGGTTTGTTTGATGCTGGCAATGTTACCTCGGAAGATATTGTGTATACTGCTCTACCACTCTACCACAGCTCCGCCCTCCTCGTTGGAGTCCACGGATGTATCATGAAAGGTACCATGCGCTTGCCTAGTGTGAATGAACCTGTTACTGTGCAGAATTAATGCACAGATGTGGTGACAGGTACAGGAAGCCTTTCCTTTAGTAGCTAACCAGACTGAGCCAAAATACTTGGTTATACGTGTCTCTCTTACCAGAAACTCCGTAAGCCGAGGGACAGTCTCGTTTATGAGACTGTTTTTAAATCATAAATCTTCTTATGATTTAGAATCATAGAATCACAGACTGGTTTGGGTTGGAAGGGACCTTAAAGATCATCTAGTTCCAACCCCCCTGCCATGGGCAGGGACACCTTCCACTAGACCAGGTTGCTCAAAGCCTCATCCAGCCTGGCCTTGGACACTTCCAGGGATGGGCCATCCACAACATCTCTGGGCAACCTGTTCCAGTGCCTCACCACCCTCTCCGTGAAGAATTTCTTCCTGATATCTAATCTAAACCTCCCGGATTTCAATTTGTACCCGTTACCCCTTGTCCTGTCAAGACAAGACTTGCACAGATCTTAAACAAATTTTATTTCCTCACCTGGAGAAACAGGATATATCCTATCCTACATGACAGCTCTTGGCACAGTTTTAGGGTAAATTAATACAGATAATACACAGTAATGGCTTTGGCCTTTTTGATGAACAGAAATAGAGGTTATTTTTAGAACCAATTATTCAGCATGGATTGTATTTCACGGTGTTTTAGGAAGACTACTTCCAAAGGATATATAACCCTAACTCTACAAGTTTTCTACAGTGTTGTGCTAAGAAATTCTATACAGTCTTACGACATAATAAGAATTGTTCCTTCTGTTATTCCTTTTTTCTTCTTTCTACACAGGTGCAACTATGGTTTTGCGTGCCAGATTTTCAGCAAGTCAGTTCTGGGATGACTGCAGGAAATACAACGTAACGGTGATACAGTACATCGGGGAAGTGCTCCGGTATCTATGCAGTGTGCCGCAGGTAGCGTTAACTGCCTCTCTTTTTTGGCTGATTAAATTACTGGGAATATTGGTTATATTATGCTCAAAACCTAAGCGTAAGGGGAAGGGGGAACCAACAAAAGCCTTCCCTATCAAGGTCTGTAATCTCATTGCGTACTCTCCTGAACGTTTTTCAAGAAGGAAAACAAAAAAGGAGCTTTTGGCTTGAATGAATCATTCTTTTGAATAGTGGAAAAATGGCAATCCGTCAATTGACATTCTGTTAAAATGGAGAGAGAAAACACTTACCTTATATGAGCACTGCAGCCACAAAGCAAAAGTGAGAGTTCTCTAGGAACCAGTGGAGCTGTGCTGTTTGGTATTTGGGCAATGTGAGTTTTGCAGCTTTTGTAGCTCAGATGTCCTAACCCAAGATAGTCAGGTGATGCCAGGGAAATGCGCTCATGTGATTATTCCAAGAGCACCCCCACTGAGGAGACACTATGCACACTCTTCACAGGGTACCTATCCATGGCCACTTTCCCACTGAGATCCCTGCAATCACATTTGTTCCTCCTTAATTTCAAAAACATGTTTGCACAAAATGACTTTCACATTTTGCCTAATGAACAGCAATTAGAATTTGCATGAGCAAGGGTGGTGTCAGTCAGTCTCCCTAGCGCCGCTGGAGAACTGTAAGCCAGAACAGAGAAGCAGGGCCGCAGTTTCTTTGTAATTTACCTTTGTGTGCAAAACATCAAGTACACAGAGATTCCATTCTGATGTCAGTTAGAGAGATGTGAAATAATTTCACTGAGAATCAGTAGAATCCCTCAGGAATTAGTTATCTAAGGAAGATCCTACTATGCTTTAGATTATTTCTTCACAAGTTGTTAGCCCAAAATGAGCAGTTAATAAAATTTTATAATAATTAGAAGACTTGGTCTCTGGATTAGGCCAGTAGTCTTCATTAAAAAGTGTGGGTGGGGGAGATTTAAACTGCGTTAAAGAAACTGGGCACTGGAAACATATAATTAAAGGTGATGGTAAGTTAATACGTCAGTTCTGCAGTTAATGGAAAATTCCACTTAAAATTAGCCAGTACTCAACTGGTATAAACAAGATGGGGGAGAAGTGAAAAAAATAGGTTACCTCCTTTCATACAGAATAGTTTTTAGGAAAAATAAGCTTTCAGAATGAGCTAATACACTCATTTTTACATGGAGTTGTGTTTCTTGGTAGCATGCCTGCACACACAAGTATAACTCAGTCACGGGGCATACTGTGTTGTAACTTCCTGACGTCAGTCACTACCTCAGAGACACGTACAGTTGCCAGCCAAGTATAAATTAGTTCCCGAATGGGGTGAGTTTGGTAACGTTAGCCACGCAGAGACTTTTAGCGTAACTGTTAAAGTGACCTGTTAATCAAAAGTCACAGATTTGTAACAACAGACAAGGAACATGAATGGCTGAACCTGAAGCCCACTGAATGATACATTCAAGTGGTATTTGAGGTTGTCTAACAGATTACTCATGATTGGTGGCTGCTTGTCTACAAAGGTCAGATTTTAAGATAGACACAGATAGCTTAGCTTGCATTATTTAATACAAAGATTTGTGTTTACTCAGTACATAGAATTCAACTCCAGTGGAGAAAACACTTCTACATAAGCCAGGTTTATAAGTGTACTGTCTGTTCCCATGTGCCCATATGCATGCTGTTCTGAGAGCACGTCTCCCAGAACTATGGGATTAACATTTTAAGAATCCAAGAACTTGACCAAATAGATATTATCACTTAATTGTTGTGGTGCCAAGAGGGCTTGGCCTGTTATTGCAGAAGTAACAGTTTTTTCCATGAGAAACTTACAGTGTAAGATCGATCCACATTGATGCAGGGCCTCATCTGTCCTAAATAATGCCATTCCATTATTTAACTTCCTTCTTGTGCTAGTAACTTTTATCTGTGCTATCATTTCTATCTATGCTGTCAGTAGTGGATGCCCCATCCCTGGCTGTCTTCAAGGCCACGCTGGATGAGGCTTGGAGCAACCTGGTCTAGTGGAAGGTGTCCCTGCCCATGGCAGGGGGTTGGAACTAGATGGACTTTAAGGCCCCTTCCAACCCAAACTGGTCTGTGAATCTATGACTTTATTCTTTCCTTTACGTAGCCACAGGAGGAAAAAACTCACTAGGTGTCACATTTTTGTTTCTGATTGTATTTCCAGCTAACCTAACAGAACAAATGGAACATATAACATTTCAGAACAAATGAACAGTCCAAATATTATACAAATCACCTTAAGGGTGAATCATTAAGTCCTTCATTCCTCACTTCATTAACCATGACTAATTAATGACTAAATCACAAATTTTCTTGATGTGCCTAAGCAAATGTGGAAGAAAGATTGAGAATACAGACCTACAAACAACAGAAGATGGAGCCAAGCAGCATCCTGTCCCCAGTGAATCACTTCAGTCGAAAGTGTTTAAGCTCAGATGTGTTAATGCCCAATCAACTGGAGTGTCTCATGAGAGTCAAAGGTATTGTGTGTGCTGTTGTAGAGCATCATCTACAACAAACAAAGAATTTATAAAAAGTGAACAGTAAGCCCTTTAGAAACTATGCAGAATTCCAGCAGATTTTGGATCTAGTTTAAGCTGGGTTCTGCGCCAACATGTTCATGGCAGATCTCTCAGTATCACAGAGAGGACTGTCTATTCATGTATTTCTTCTTTAGATCAAATTTAAACATCCATTTCTAGACTGTTCTGCAGAAAAGCAATAATAATTCAGAAGTGATATAACTGAAGTCCAAAATAAAGTTTGTTTTACAGTATTTAAAAACCTTAGCCATTTTATTGTGGCATATTTTTGTCTTTTCTGGGAATATGAACACTATAAGACGAATACAGGCTTGCCTTACTGGCCAGATTTCCCTCTTGAATCACTCCTTGAAAGAGCATTTTGCAATTCTAGTGGTCTGGGCCCATCTTACCCTCCTACCACCATCTGCATTGCCCTCTGCACTGTATTTTCTGCAAGACAGAGAGCCAACATACTTATTCTGCACAAATACACTTTCCAGTCTGTTGCTGATAGAATATTCTTATTCTTTCAACAACTTATTCCACATTAAAAAGCCAATATATATCTTAAAAGACTCTTTGATCCTCAAAATGCTATTAAATTATGTAATAAAAGAAACAGTTGGAGACAAAGGTGGGAAGTGGGATAAAAGAGCCTTTCCGTATTTTGCCAAACTTCTCACAGGCTGTTGTTACTCATTAGCATGTTAGATATGTTTATGAATTACACAGGCCTGTCCCAGTTCAGTACTTCCTACTGCTGAGGCTCAGTATAAACAAGAGAAAGCATAACTGCACTGCCATCCTCACTATGCGTTTATCACTTTACTGTCTGCGCTGGTTTTAGTTGGGATAGGGTTGGGGTCCTTACTGGGGCTACACCACGACACTGTAAACAGAAAGATCTAATAACGCTATTAAAAGTGATATGAAATGTGGAAAAGAGTTTTTGCAGGCTCAACGCTGTACTTAGAATGGCAAAAGGGGTTTCCTTTCCACCCAAACACCAATGTTTTGCTGAATTCCAGGTAAATTACACTCTCCTGCAGATAGTCACCACAAGGCTAGCAATCAGAACAGTTTGCATGGTACCTGAGTTTCATCTTGGCTTTCTGCGTAGAATTATTTGTTCCTGCCTTCATCCAAATCAAGTTAACTGCTGAACTACAGTTAAATATGTAGCCTAACTTGCTCAGTGATTTCCTTTTCCACATCAAAATCATGAGCTTAACTAATGATGCTGGCACACATTTTGCTTCACTTTTATACTCAAGTTTCTTGCAGATTTTACAGAATTAGAAGCTTTCACTCAGCATAAATGTGAATTCACAACTTTTTTTTCTTTATAGAGAGACAATGATCAGGATCACAAAGTCAGACTTGCCATAGGAAATGGAATAAGGGCTGATGTTTGGAGGAAATTCATCCAAAGATTTGGAAATATTAATATATTGGAATTTTATGCATCGACTGAAGGAAACATTTCTTTTGTTAATTACACTGGAAAAATTGGTGCAGTGGGAAGAGTAAACTGCTTGCAGAAGGTAAGAATAACAACAAAACCTGGCATTTTGTCCTTCTCGGTGAAGTTTGGTATACTGCCAAGGCCATATACCAGGCCACTCGTACGGCAAGGTGGGAAGAACCCAGGGCCCAGCCATTAATTTGTCCAGAGAGAAGATTCTCCCCAGGTACAGTCTATGGCTGCCCATGGTAGATATCACAGATGCCTCTCTCTAGCTTAGGCAAAAGGACATTTAGACTTAGCACATTCGTTGAAATGTGATGAATTTGGCTCCTGTTAAATAGAAACCTGTGTAGTATAATTCTGACAATATTTTTCAAAGGCTGAATATTCATGTGTGTATACATTTTGCAAATTTTCACTAGAAAATCTTACGCTATGAACTGATTAAATATGACGTAGAGAAAGATGAACCAGTCCGTGATGAAAATGGATACTGCATAAGAGTTCCCAAAGGTAAAAACTTCTTTAAAAAATTTCAGAAAGGTATTTGCTTCTTAAAATAATGTCTCTTTGCATCACTTCTCTCTGGAAAGATGCTAAGAATTGCCATTGGGTGAGACAGGTTTTTAAATACAAGTTAGAAAATATGTAACCAATCACATACTGTTGTAACACAACTTAACAGGCGGGTGAAGTGCAGTGGGGAATGCAGCACCTGCATACGTCGATTTTCCCAGCAGGGGTTTATGTCTTGGCACGGGCAAACCTGTGTTTAAACCAGATACTTGTGGTACTTTCCAATTTTGTTGCGTTGTTACATGTGTGGTCATTAATCACGGTGAGTGAGGGTAGCGATGCTCACCACCTCTGTGCACAAGGGAAGTGCAGGACACGTTACCAACTGTGTTGAATTCTCTCTGCTGAGGAATACACATACCCTTTAAGTAAAGAGCCTCTCCCCGCAAGCCTACTTTCCTGTGCCAACTCTCCCCATGCAGTCTTTTGACTTGGGATGAGGAGCGATGCGCACACATACATCCCACATTTGCATAAATGTGCCCAATTTTTAAGTTCTTGAACTGCAGAGACGTGGAAGATACCTGCACTGTGAGAGAGAAACTCTATTCAAGGATCACCTCCTTCAAGCCCAGGAGCCATGCATCCCAACAAGGAGGAAGTCAGGCAAAAACACCAGGAGGCCTGCAGGGATGAACAAGGACCTCCTGGACAAACTCAAACACAAAAAGGAAGCCTACAGAGGGTGGAAGTAGAAACAGGGAGCCTGGGAGGAATACAGAGAAATTGTCCGAGAGGTCAGGGACGCTGTAGGAGAAGATCAGGTTGGAGACCATCTAAGGAACCTGAAGATGCACAAGTCCATGGGACCTGATGAGGTGCATCCACAGGTCCTGAGGGAACTGGTGGATGAAGTTGCTAAACCTCCACCCATCATATTTGAGAAATTGTGGCAGTGGGGTGACATTCCCACTAACTGGAAAAGGGGAAACATGACCCCCATTTTTAAAAGGGAAAAAAGGAAGACCTGGGTTGCTACAGGCCAGTCTCACCTCTGTGCCTGGAAGGTCATGGGGCAGATCCTCCTGGAAACTATGCTAAGGCACGTGGAAAATAAGATCATTGGTGACAGCCAACATGGCTTCAACAAGGGCAAATTGTGCCTGACAGATTTGGTGGCCTTCTACAACGGGGTTATGGTGTTGGTGGATAAGGAAAGAGCAACTGATCTACTTGTTGGATGCCCCGTCCCTGGAAGTGTCCAAGGCCAGGCTGGATGAGGCTTGGAGCAACCTGGTCTAGTGGAAGGTGTCCCTGCCCATGGCAGGGGGTTGGAACTGGATGGTCTTTAAGGTCCCTTCCAAACCAGTCTGTGATTCTGTTCTGCTGCATTAACATAAGCAGGTAACAAAATGTATTGTCTACTGGCATCTTTGAGGTCTAGTGAGTTGAGAGGACAAGGTGAAACTCAGTCGGTACCTCCACTGATTTTAAAAGACGGTGATTATGACAAAACTCTCAATTCTGTAACATCTGCAAACTTCACCAATGGAATGAAAATTAGGTACTTTTTTTTTGCAAATTACACTCTGCTTTTTAAGGAAATGTTTTTCCTCTTCATAGGTGAACCTGGACTACTGATCTGCAAAATCACCCGGTACGCACCCTTTAGCGGCTATGCAGGAGCCAAACGGCAAACGGAGAAGAAGCAATTACGAGATGTCTTCCAAAAAGGGGATTTATACTTTAATAGCGGTGACCTTTTAGTGACTGACAAGGATAACTTCATTTATTTCCATGATCGAACTGGAGACACATTCCGGTCAGTTTGTTTATTTGAATGCTTGTCACAAGACAACTGACTCATTCTCAGGTTTGAATTCAGATGTGCTATAACCTGGTGGAGAGGAGTTTGTCTGGCTTCAGCCAGAAAGAGGGAGGCCTCCAGGTCACCTCCACTGTTGTACTTTATCCGTTGTGTTTGGTTACACACCCAGCCTGCACGAGGTTGGGTTTAGGGGGATGAATGAATGCTGTTTGGGACGGTCAGAAACCAGTCACGTTCACAGAACAAAACCATTGTGGTTTCACATGAACTAGACTTTTAAAACTCAGAAAGCACAGAGCCTAGGATAGAATCTAAGGTAAGTGATATTTGGGGCTTTTCTTTGTTTAGAGCCCTTTTAAGAATGATTAAACTAAGTGTGTTAGATTATTCTGAGATTTGAATAATCTGGAATGTGTTGTTGCATTTTGCAGCATGTTTTCCTCTACTTCTGAGAACAAGCTCCTTGCTGTAGTGCAAAAGTGCTTTCTGATCTCCAGCTCAGCGCTCAGCCCCTCGCACAGCGAGACACTGAAACACCGGAGATCGCTACCTGTAATACAATTAGAAATCATGACTCTTGGCTGCTTATTTTTCAGGTGGAAAGGGGAAAACGTTTCCACAATGGAAGTTGCAGAGGTTTTAGGACTGATTGACTGCGTTCAAGAAGTTATTGTATATGGAGTGTCTGTTCCAGGTACGAGTGAAACACCTGAAGTGTTTCAAGAGAATTTCTTAATACATTAACAGAACATCAGCACACTGAGCTGCAGAGTATAGGTCGCCCTACTTGGGCTTATTCTTCATAAACTACGTTTGCCACGTTCCACCATTTAAATGGATGCAATATTAATTAGGTAAAAAGACACGGCCAAAGTTTATATTAACGTAGCGTGACAAGAATACTAACAGGGGAACGGGAGAACATTTAAGATTCAGCATCTTGGATACATGTCATACCTTTTACATAGCTCTGCCATGACTGCAGAGTGGGACAAACAAAATAGACCTGAGTTTCTGGAATGTCACTTAAGAAATTGCTTCCCTCTATTTTTCTCCTTTAACAGTCTGAAGGAATGCCAGAAGTTCTAACTCTTTACTCTACTTCCCTGTGTCCTGTGTTTTGGAGGTACCTTCCTGCCCATGTTTCTCACCCAAGATCCGTGGGAACTCCCTCACTGCGTTCGGGCTGTGGCGGACAATCAGAAGGGAACCCATTCTTGGCGTGTCCCGCGGGGATCTGAAATCAAACAAACAGGGTTAGGTTTGGTTGAAATCCCGAGGACTGCGTTGCGCACGTGGTTTGGGCTAGAGGGCATAATAGGTTGCATGCCCTTAGAGTGAAGTAAGGAGGAGGAGGAATTCCAGAGCAGCAGTTAACTACGTTAACAGATGTATTAACAGGTGTAACAGATATTTAAAATTAATGAAGCTCACACTTTTCCATAAAGGTTTCCAGTGTTCGGTATGTCACAACGTGGGTCACAGCGGTGACACGTTAGGTTTTTGGAACTGAAGGCGTGTTAGAGACGCCCCTCTTCCTCCATTCACCACTTCCTTCCACCATTCAACGCGTGAGACATTCTGCTAAATCATGATCCATTCACTATTTTCTCCCCTTAACCATGAGACGAGACATGGCCATGTTTCTGCGGCTAGAATAACAAGCCTGTTCATAAACCGAGACGTTCCATCAGAACAGTGAATTCAAATAACGAAACTTTTTATTATTCATGTATGTCTGCTACATCTAGTAAAATGAAAGCCTCCCTCTTTAAATCACCCTTGTTTTCAGCTGCTTTGTGGTAGGGATAAACATACAGCTGCCCTAGGAGGCATTTCAAAAGAAAGGTAACAACGTTCTTTATGTATTTCTCAGATTACGACGTTCCATCAGAACAGTGAATTCAAATAACGAAACTTTTTATTATTCATGTATGTCTGCTACATCTAGTAAAATGAAAGCCTCCCTCTTTAAATCACCCTTGTTTTCAGCTGCTTTGTGGTAGGGATAAACATACAGCTGCCCTAGGAGGCATTTCAAAAGAAAGGTAACAATGTTCTTTATGTATTTCTCAGATTATACTCCAGGAGATGAGGAAGATAGGCTCTTGTTCTCAATGCTCCTGTAAAGCCACATGGAAGCGGTGTTAATACCTAATTATAGATCAACCTTACGGAAAAACAATGCTGTTCAAACCAGTTCTCATTTGACATTTGTGTGAGGACTGGGTGGATTGGGTATTTTGGTTTTCTGGTTTGCATGGCACAGAAAGATTTGTACTTTGTAATGCAGCGGGGGGTGTCAGTGTACATCACCTGAGAATTCATTAATTCCACGCTCTAGATTTTGAATAACAAACTGGAATGTGAGATGCCACCAGGACGTGGTGTTAAAGGCAAACGGAAACAAGGCTCAAAAGAAACTAATGAACAATTAATCTTCAATTAGCATATGCTTGTGCTCTACTTTAAGCATTAGGTGCTACTTTCCGTTTGCACTTCCTCCTGTACGCAGTTCTGTGAAAGCATTCATGTGTTTGGAATGTAAAACTCTGTGTAGTATTACGGCTTTCTTCCTGCATTACCTGTAATCCGGGAAAACAGAAGGAACACCAAAAGGTGTGTGTTTAAATGGTGTTCTATCCCTCAGCCAGCAAAAAAAGGGGAAAGGAGGAAGTCCTTTATGTATGTAAAACAAGTAAAAAAATCTGAAGTGCTTGGATTTGTGCAGCGCTTCATTAATCATTAGGATGGTAATGAACAATGGTAACCTGGCTCTTACTCCCTCCTGTCCTCTTTCTGCACGGATGAGCCTGTCAGCACAAGCACGGGCGAATTACCGTGATTCACTGGAAGGTGAATTAACCCCCAGAGTTAAACGCTGCTGCAGGCAGACTTTGCCTCAGAGGACAGACCTGATTTTCCAGGAGGGTTTTCAGGATGTCTGCCATCTCTACACTTGCTGCTTTCGCCGGAGTTTGGCACCTGGCATGCTGAAGCCGTAAAAAAATCTTAATCTCTTAGATGTGTAAAGGAAAAGATGTTAGTACGTTGGCTTAGAAGTGGCTTAGAAGGAAGGGTTCACTTCCAGCAGAGGGAGATGGAGGGGGGGAAAAAAGACATGGCCTGAGGTTCAGATTTAGATACGAACTACTGTTATTTGCTGTTGTTATTCCTTCAGGGTATGAAGGAATGGCATGTATTCGACTAAAGGAAAACTGTGGCTTTAACGCAGAGAGTGCTTACAGACACGTTAACACTCACCTTCCAAACTACGCAAGGCCTCGTTTCATAAGGATTAAGGTAAACCAGTGGTCCTGAGTAGCTTCTCTCTGTCTGAATTGCATTTTCTCTCTTCCCTGTGAGGACTGTGGACTCCCTAGCTACACTGGGAATGCCCAAAAAGGCTTCTTTCCTCTCTCGCCTGCTCTGGGCATTGACCAGTGTGAAAGCAGAATTGCACCCAGATGGTTCCGTTTGGCCTGAAGAAGACAAGCTGCAGGAGCAGCTACAGGGCGCCTGGCACGTTTCAATGATCTACCTGCAAATCGGGGAGATCTCTCGGTGGAAAATACACTTCCCGTTGGATTCCTTCAGCACAGTAACACAGCGGTGTTCAGCTTAGGGTAGCTCCCTCCACAGACTGTTCCGTGCAAAATTAAGATCCCCACACAAATAAAAGCTTGGAAGAGAGCTGTCTTTAGCAAGAGAGGCCTTAGATTTTTATCCTACCTGTAAATAAATAGCCAAACTCTTAAAGTGAAAGTTAACCTGAATTAGGAAAATGTTGTAAGACTGTCACTCTCACTGTACTTCTTATTTATTTAAAGCAAACATTGCTCCTTTGAGAAAGGTTGTGTATATGCTGAGATGAATCAAACCCCTAACACAGAGACACCAGCACGCCTAATGATTTAATCAATCTTTAAACTTCTGAGTGATACAAACAAAGCAGTTGACCAGTCAAGGCAGCGGTTGGGCTCACCATCCCGTGTGAAGTGCAGTGATTCTCCAACTGCCCTTTCTTTGCTCTTCTTTTCTGAGAGGAGTTCTGCTGGGTTTTTGATCCGAGAACATAATTAAATAATCTTCTGGCTAAACCCCTTGATTCTCTCTGACTAGAAGCTGACAGCTAGTGTTTTATTGAACTAGGGCAGTAAGGAAAGCCTTTCAGTAGCGTTCAGAAGTGCCCTGGCAGTTCCTGCATTCAGAGTCATTACTGGCTCACGTACTCCACAGTCCCGTTATTACCTGATGAACGCAGGTACTTTAGACCTCTGTCAGTGAGGCATTCTGTGCTATATGGATTTTTTGTAAATATGATTCCCTTTGTCTTTAGGAAGTCTAACCTGACTCCCACCGTGATACGCTGACATTGATAAGCAGAGATGTAATTCTGTTTTGCAGAGTGCCGTTGAACTTACAGCAACGTTTAAGTACCGTAAAGTACAACTGGTGGAGGAGGGTTTCAACCCGGCAGTCGTCAGGGATCGCCTGTATTTCCTGGATGACAAAGAAAAGCTGTACGTACAAATGACCCAGGATATTTATAACTTGGTAAAAAACCATGACTTGAAACTGTGAGCATGTAGAAACCCCTTTGTCTTTATAACACAGTTTTTAGGGCATCTGTTATTCTAACCTTGCCAGGAAATCCTATTTATTAATGTCAGCAAACATCAGTGTCTGAAATAAACCGTGAATGTGAGATTGTTTAAATAAAGCCAAACTTCTCCAGCTCTACTTGTATCTATCCTGCCTCCTCCTCCTTTCATACCTGGAACCTCACCTACCTTCCTCCTGCGTGTGGATGCGTGTCAGTGCTGAGGGTGGCAGCAGCGTGCAGCGAAGCGCGTGTCCGTGGGCACAGTATCAGACCTCTTCACACAGACACGTTTATGTACATAGGAAAGGGTGGGCCGCTGCGTTAGTAAAAGTTACATCCCTAAGTCAAAGCGCAGAACTCATTAAAATAAGACCATTAATGAAGCTTACAGCTGTCTCAGATGAAGTACTCAAAAAAGCCTGCGTTAGATGCTCTGCTGCAGCAGAGCTGCCCTCGGACTTTTCTCGCACCAAATACTACGCACAGGAAATGAGCACAGCTTGTGAGAACTGAGATGGACTTTCCTGCAGGTCCAAGCAGAGTAGTGCCAGGCCACTGAGTGCGGCTTAGGTTTCGCTGGCGTTTAAAAACAGGCAAACAACTGGAATGGAATCCCATAGATGCGTTCTTACTCGAAAGGGCTAGCAGGGCAATTTGACCGTTCAACACCTGCCGCGATACAGCCCCGAGTTCGGGTGAGCTTCTGTACAGGTATGGGAATTGTGCTGATTAACCAGGCTTACCGTTCACAACCTGAGAATGGTTGTACTGGGTCAGACTGAAGATCCATCCGGCCGAGCACGCAGCCTTCAAGGCGGGGAGACTGTTGGGGCCTGGAAACCACTAGAAAGGTGGCAGCAAGCATCTAGCAGTGCTTTCCCAGCATAACCTCCGAGCAGCCATCACGCTTCCCAACTCACACTTGTTTCTCTCAGTTTAAAGCTGCTCTCAATAGATTTTTCTCCCCCCAATTTTTTAAATTATTCTTGAAAAACATGTAAAGCATCGACCTCTTGCAGCAGTAAGTTTGTTTGCTGCAGTGAGCCCATTTCTTCTGTAATGCCCCTTAGTTCTTCCGATAGGAGAAAGGGTGAAGCATCATTCCTACCCTCTTTCCTCATGCACTTCCGATGTACAGACCTTAGGTAATGCTGAGGAAGTGCTGAGCAGAGCAGCCGCTCTTGCAAGGTGGCTGCGTAAAGCCTCCCGCGCGCTGTGACTGAGAGCCCAGCTGCAGCGACCGGGCTGCTGTCTGGTTAAACCCGCCCAGCTTTAAAAGTGCCCTCATACAGCAAAATCTGAGAGGTTCCATCCTCCTTTTGGCAGGAATAGAACCAATGTCGGCGTTGTTTGCACGCACGGATCCTCAAAGCGATCTGCAGAGTTTAAGGTATTCAAAACCCAGTGGTGCAAAATGTTACAGACTGCGAGATTTATTTAACACTTGAAACTATAAATACACGAGGTTTCCACCAGTAAAAGCGCAGGAATTTTCTCCGTGGCCATTGCCACTGCTGACATACCAGACAAAGTAACATGCAGTATTGCATAGGGGTAAGCAAACTTTGGTTCTCTTGCTAACGGGAGAGCTCTGACGGACCAGCCTCTCAGGGGTTAAACGATGGCCTGCAGAGGACAGCAAGGCAGCTGAAGGCCACACTGAATACTACACTCCGGAAAGCTCGGGACGCTGTAGAACTTAATGAGTTTTTTGAAGGCACTTTTTTTGAACATCATCACCTCTTCAGGCAGCCTGGAAAGAATTCTGGCGCTGGCGTGAGACTCCTCCTTGTCAGCGGCGGCTGCTGTGGGGTTACCTTGCTCCAGACTCCCAGACATCGGCACGCTGTTGCAGCTGAGGGAACGGGCTGCCTTCTTCTTGCCTTGAACAGATAAATAACTGAATAAAAAAGAGGTTAACTTATGTTTGGTAACATCTTGGACATCTTCTGGGAAACAGTCATCTAGAGGATCCCCTTGGCCTTTCACCTGTTGGCTCATCGCGCACGTACCGGGGCTCACTGCCGACTTCTTAGGCTGAGATACTATTTTTCTGGCAGGTGATTTGTATTTTCCTCCATCGAGATAAAGCTGAGAAGCATTACCAATGGCCTCGGAACTAGGCTGAACTATCCCACGAGGGATTCTTGCCCCGTCGCCAGCACTGATGCAGCGCGGCCCGTAACTGTGGCTCACGATCCGGGCTGCGGTGCGTTGAATGATGTTCCAGTCCTGCAGAACGTCCTCCCTGGTCGTGAACTGGGACGTTACGGTAAAGCGAATGATGAACTTGTCGCGAATCGTTGCCGGAATTAGGAAGAGCCTGCCAGAACTGCTCAGTTCTCTCAGCAGCTTTTCTGTCAGCCAGTTGGGACCCTGTTTCCAACAGCAATAAGACAGAAAAACCAGCGTTAGAATTTCCAGTGACATCCAGATGGCTCTGTAAGAATTCCAGCATTACAAATTCTTCCACGGAAGTTTATTCACGGTCCGTATTGCCTGGGTAGGGATCAGCTGTGGTCAGTTCATCCCAAGGAGACATGCACATCCTTTACCTTTAGACGAAATACAACCAGGCCAAGGTGTCTCTTGGCAGGAATTTCAAACAGTGGATCGCTTTTAACCAAGGATTCAAAGAATTTGGCTGTTTCAGTGCCCTAAAATGAAGGAAAAAAAATGTAGTTGTGTATTGATGTGTCACAAACCGACTGTAAGACCCTTACACTGAGTTCAAAAGAGTTCTTTTCCTTTCTCAAACACATCATTCCACTGTGTGAATGGTAGTAAACAGAAGAATGACAGCAAAACTAAGAATTTTTCTCTGCCTCTATTTGCCCAAACCCTTGACAATGAGCAAGCTTAACTGGACTATACACAGGAATTTTCTAGAAGGTCTGAAACTGGAACGTGCCCTCTCAGATGAGAGCCCTTGAGCAGCAACCGCTGATCCCCACCAAGCCCCAAGCCCGTACACGTTCACAGCAACGGCTTCAGCCCGGCCGCTTGGCCCCACAGAAGGCCCCTACGCAGGCACGCGCAGCAGGCCCGTACTTCGTCACCTCCGCTGCCTGCTGCTTCCCAGAAGGGCACAGGAAACGATCTGCCTCCGCAGCCCTTTCCACAGCCCGCTGACGGGTTACACGCCAGCCCTGCCGCGAGAGGATCTGTTTCTCAGCCTGGCACCGCTGAGTTCCCTCCCCTCGGCTACCCGCGGACGAACCCAGCGCCCCTTTGCTTGCACTCTGAGTTCACGTACCTGTCGGACGTGGGCTTGAAGCTTTTTCACCCCAAATGAACGAATCACAAACCACAGCTTCAAAGAACGGAATCGACGGCTCAGTGGAATTTGCCAGTGCTGTGAAAACAGGACAGCGTGTCAGTAAGAGCAAAAGCAGCAGAAAGGAGCGTCCCCTCACGCCGCTGCCTTCGGACACAGGGCAGAAACCTCTGCAGTGCCGTGCTGCTGAAAACCTGCCAAGCCTAGGAAGCAGCCAGCAAAGAAAACTATCTCCATATATTGGCCAAAATAAGATTTTGGCTATGCCCCTTAATCTACGGCATAGATAGGTTTATAATTTTTAATCAATTACCAGGTAGTAACTGCACCTTTTTGCATTTAAAGAGCGTTTCCTATTTAACAGGTGTCCATTTACACTTCAGGACTGAGCCCTCACTTCAGTTCCTGTCCTTTGCACATTTAACCCTGAAGGTTTTCCCGAATCAGCCATAAGCAGCGGGGGCTGACATTGGGGTGGGCCCTTCCGGGGCAGCAGCGTAACGCCTACCGCGTGGGACAGAGCGACAAACACGGAAACCAACACTTCTAGGGCGCGACACAGGTCCGTGCAGGGGCCTATTTAACCACATGAGGGGCACAGGGACCTATTCACAGAATCACAGACTGGTTTGGGTTGGAAGGGACCTTAAAGATCATCTAGTTCCAACCCCCCTGCCATGGGCAGGGACACCTTCCACTAGACCAGGTTGCTCCAAGCCTCATCCAGCCGGGCCTTGGACACTTCCAGGGATGGGGCATCCACAGCTTCCAGGGCAACCTGTCCCAGTGCCTCACCACCCTCTCCGGGAAGAACTTCTTCCTGATATCCAATCCAAACCTCCCCACTTTCAATTTAAACCCGTTACCCCTTGTCCTGTCACTACAGGCCCTTGTAAAAAGTCCCCCCCAGCTTCCTTGTAGCCCCTTCAGGTACTGGAAGGTGCTATAAGGTCTCCCCGGAGCCTTCTCTTCTCCAGGCTGAACACCCCCAACTCTCCCAGCCTTTCATCACAGGAGAGGGGCTCCATTCTTTCCCGCCCCTCTCCACTCACTCTAGTGAAAAACGCTATTGATTTCAAGGAAACAATTATCTTTTCAGGAATGGGGTGAGATCATGGGAGAAACAATTGGCAGTGAATATTCTTTTGTTTTACTGGAGTGAAATCTGCTGTAAGATGGATCTGAAGAGAAATGCCTCTTAGCTCTCCCTATGAATACCTTCATCTGAAGGAAACATCATCCCTCCCACTGCTGTTTCTGAGCACGGTGTTTCTGTTGCTTACTTCTCTTTTTTATTGCATGACAGAGAGACAAGAAAACCAGCCAAAACGCCACTGGTAGGAATTACTTCAGCAATACGATGCAGGGAAATGACCCTTCTAACTAAGATGGCAGAGCTGGATCCCTATCTGTGTAAAACCCTTTGAGTACTTCAATCTCTACGCCTGGAGGCAACTTTATAATTCATTTTCCCAACTAGGGCTCACTTCACAGTTTTACTCTTTAATCTGCGTTAAGATCTCAGTGTAACGGGGTTTATGCTTTTATATAATCAGGCCAGCTCTAAGACAAGCACCCTCCAGCCTGTGGGGAATTTCACAGCCTGTCTGAACGTTTCATAGGCAATTGAAAACATCAGCTTACCATGAAATCAACAGCAGCTCCTGAATTGGGATGTCGGAGGTAGACGGGGTTAACACT